AACAGTCGTTATCTCATAATTGGAGAAGTATGCCGTAAATGTGTGCTCTCTACAATATTACTTCGACAGTCCACTTGATATCACTGATTAGTTCAGCTCTAATAAAGATAGACATACATGTCTTCCGTCGCCTAGGATGTCACTCGGTAACAAAATATTGAATACGCTTAATTAGGCTTTCCTTGAACCACTACCTCAGTATTTAGGATTTTGAAGGACGGATAAACAAAACTCAGCCTTAGAAACACTGCATATTTGATCCGAAGTTTTATTGATATCACGGCCTGGCTAATTCTTATGAGTTGGAAGACAGCTCTCCAGTTAAGTTAAGCGATAAATAAGTCGCAAAACCACTCTTATTCAAATCAAACTACTTCATCACTACACGATCAATGGACTATTTTCATTCACGCATGTATGGTCGAATTACAGAAAATGTAAATCAAAGAATAAAATGTGATCTCAAATTCCTTTTGAGAATCATAAACACCAGTGTTTTCTCCTATACTATGCTAATAGGGTAAACCTTCCCTGCACCCAGTAACATTGAATTTATGGAGAGAAATCTAAAATATCACCCGCTCCTTCCATTCGAAAATCGGTCAGTTCAATGAAGTAGTTCGATTCAGAGCCCCTAAAATGACGTCATTTATAGAATAACGCAGTTGATTTATCGACGGAATAATTGCGTGAGTTACTATCTCTGTTTGTTCCAACGACACGGCCTCAAAAATATTCTCGTGATGGCGTTTATTAGCTCCCGTTACGTTTAGTGGCAAAATTTCTAGGGAAGGACATATTCAGACTGAGGGATAATTTTTAGATGTTACTGTCCTGTCATCACAAACAATTACTGACTCTTGCTTCTCGTCGTTGGTTAGTTATTGTAGCAGCAAATAAATCTACAAAATAAATGACTCTATAAGTTTTTGATACTGGATGCTGACCACATTAGTTTTAGTGCCCCTACCTAGCTGAAGGGTCTTGGTCATGCATCCGCACCAGATCGCGAGTGGGAACATAGTGTTTAACATCCCTTGCAATCGCTAGCGAGTCTAGATCAGTCGATTCTCGTCATATTGACAGCCTATCAAATATATCTTCGAACCTCCTCGCTTTTGACTTTTGATTTCACTAGGTTTTTACGATTCATAATAGGTGTTACTGGTTGATTCGTTGTCAAACTACAAAGTTGACTTCCACATACCGTTGCGACAGTCTTTAGTTGATGAGTCCAGACGACGAAAAGGCATATTAGTCGTAATAAGGAGGGTCTCATATGATCCAGATATTTTAAAATGCTCCTACAGACTCACTTTGTATCGAAGGTGTTTGCTACAATAATGAAGGCGGTTATTAAACCAGAGTAAGTTGTTTTTGGGTTTGTGAAAACCTTTAAAATATCAGAACTTTTGTGGTTTAGGTTTTGTACAGCCTCCTTCCACATGGGTAAAATCAAAGCACTATCGTTATGTCGGATACGGTTCTCATCATGAGGATTGTCATTGTCAGTTATACGGATAGTGGCACTCGGCCATAGAGCACGAAGAATTATTCGATAAAACCTTTGCAATTAAACCTAAAATACGTGAGGAACACGAAATTGACCGTTTATTCAAAAAAAAAAGTCCTCGTTAGGAAAAGAAGACAGCTCTATTACCTAACTACCTACCAAATAATTTGATTGTTCAAGGGCACATTACTTACTACTTAAGTTTACGGAATCTTTTATCCGGTTTAGCGACATTCTGTCTAAAACGTTTCAGATACCAATATTAGTGTGATTCCTCTGTAGTTCTCACTACTGCTTAGACCTATTTTCTTTGGTATTTTGATGAGTATCCTTTTTCCTAGACTGTCGTTCTCCATCCCAAATCGAATCTGGGGCAAGTTTGCAAATACATTTAGGTCTGACTTCAGTGTTTCAGTTAGCATTTTGTCTGGTCCTACCGCTTTCCCATCTCTGATTTGTTTGTTAACCGGTTATCCTGATTTTTTAATCTTTGGTGGTGACAGAGATGGGAAGGTCTGTAGGTGCTGCTTAGATGTCCGGTGGACTTAATGAAGCTGATCTATTCAGTTCTTCAAAAAATCCTACCCATTTATTCCTCTGTTCTTGTATCTCGGCGATTGTCTTGATTTTTTTGTCCTTGACTGGTCTCCCTGGTTTACTATATTTCCCGACCAGTTTTCTTGTTATATCGTGTAGTTGCTTGATATTTTCTCTTGTGCAGCTTCTTCCACCAACGTTGCTAGCTCTTCCACGTATCTCTACTTATCAGCTCTGATGCTTCGATTCACTTGCTCATTTTTCACATTGACGTTTTCTGTTCTTGTTCGACTGTTAAGTTCTGTCTCTTTGTCCTCCTTTTGCTAAATCCTGTACGGGGTTTCGACGCAAACCCATCCCTTGTGGTGGTGTTTCTTGAGGCACAGGACCTCCTGACATGTTGAAGTCACTGCTTCTCTGATCCTTTTTCAGCAGTTATCCATGATAGATACTTTTTATTTAACAGATCTTATAAGGCCTGGAGCCTATTGATAAGAGCAGTTTCGAATTCGCTGAGTTTGTCAGTTTCTCTAAGGAAGGCTTTATCAAACCTCTGAAATGATGTTTTCCCGGGTAGTTCTGTGTATCAATTTTAGGTGGAATATGGTGCAACCATAACTATATTATTTAAGGCACTTTAATGTAATGATCTCCGACTATTTTTGTTCCTTTCTCCCAGTCCATATCGTCCCATGATATCTTCATACCCGATGTTGTTCAGTCCGACTTTGACATTTAGGTCTCTCATTACGATGGTCATGTAGTTTCCTGGGCACTTCCATACGATCGACTGCATTCCCCATCAAATTGATCTTTATTGTCTTCTTCGCTATCATCGGTGGATAAATGACACCGGATAACGTTCGTTATGATTCTTTCCTTCCATATTTTGAAAGAAGCATTGACTATTTTGGATCCATGAGTTTCTCGTCATATGAGTGACCTTGTTTCTACTTCGGAGAGCATCAGAGAAACTCTCTGCATGTGTGGAACATTTTATTCTTCATGACCAGACTACACCACAATCTCCCCCAAATCCAAGCTGTTCTAACCAGCTTAGTTCCAGTGGATTTAATTAATTGTGAGAACAGTCGATTTTTATCTCCTAATTTCTGTAGTTACTTGATTAGTCACTCAATTTACTTACATGGATTAATACTCCGGTTTTCAGAAGGGGCTTGGGCCTTATGACTTCCGTAAAATTTCGGATTTCAGCTCTAGGTGTCATAGATCCTTCAACTCTCAAGACGCAGTTGGAATCGTTTATTCTAGTTAACGTATTTTAGTGTTATAACTTGTGGCCTTATCCCTGTTAATATATGACGCAACGATACCGCCAATTAGAGAACAGTTAATTATCGATCGGACCAATGACGCATGAAACACGTAAGAACAGTTCAGAGTCTTTATCGGTCCTGCTTTTTGTCTAGCCCTGCCTGTTAAGTCCAAAACACCGATTTCAGCATCTGAGATATGAATCATTTGTTTCAAACATACTGGATTTATATACAAATCAAACAGAACACATCGCACGATAAAACAAGAAATAAACACTTGTACAATATATAGTCAAAAGTGGCTCAAGCGTTACCATTCATAATTCTCGTCGGCACATAACATTTAGCAAGCTTGTTTTCCACGTGATGGGATTGCTGACCCCATGCCCAACCCTCCTCCTTTACTCGGGTTTTGGACCAACAGTAACCCTAAAAGAATTACAGGAGGAGTTAAGAATGTATTCGAGGAACATATACTTCAGACATTCGGTATTGCAGACGAACAATAGGAGAAGCGCAGGAATAGCCAGCTTGATTTGATAAAGCGCTGCTCACTATTTGTAGTTAGAAAAGTAAGCCAAAGACGAAACGAACAACGGAATGAACGCACATACGATCGTATGAAAATATTAAAGGTTGTAAGAGAATAATGGACATGGTTGAAGTTAATGTGGAAGACTCAAAAAGAGAGAATTAATCCGTCAGTTCAAGGACCAGAATAACCTTTATAGGTGTGACAGTACATTAGGCCACAAAGTTTTTACAATGATCCCTGACGTCCATCGAAATTACTGTCACTAACTCTTGAAATAGTATGCGTGTAATAAAACCAATGACACCAGAAGATCATGAAAACACTTTGTATTCGGAAAGTTTGTTGAGACTTGAGATTTTCATAGTCCACAACAATAAGTCCTTTTGGTCCCGGGAAAATACATACCCACACCAGGAAGCTGGAACTTGAGCCAAGAACCGTTTCATAATATGAACTTTGATGAGCTCAGCGGACAAGAGGTCAAACTGAATAGACATACGATCCTGGAATCAAAATGATCATAAGGTCTATGTTCCAACACTACTGTATGTTTCTGGGTCATGATCGATATGCTTCAAAACATCGGGTAGTTTAGAAGTTGTCGCATAAGTGTTGTAACCAATGAAGGCTATGTCGTTCGTTGACTGAGAAACGTTGAGACAAGGCTTTTAGCCACATATATACAAACATATCACTGTGTGGTTTGATTAGGGATACTGTCGGGTTTCATAAAATGTCAGGATCGCCGTCTGTTATTTAGAAACCGGATTTATACGAGCCCTAAACTCAAAGTAACCGTAAGTTTTTTGGGGTATGAGAGCTTGTCATAATATGTTCGACCATGAAAACTGTAGAGGAGAACTCCGAAAGTCACATCTGAATGAGGAGAGAGAGAGAGAGAGCGGTTAACAACTGGAATGTGCTCTGACAAGTGATATCAACTCAGTCTGTGAACGCTTTCAAAGCAAAACACGATCTTCACTTGAAAAATGCTTCGTATATTAAAGTAAGTCAATCGACATATTTTCTTCATTAAGGAAGACTGTATATTGAATGTTGTCTCTATGCATTATTCAGCTATTGTGCATTGAACCTTGTTTAGTTTTGCATTTGCGTGACTTCAGTCGTGAGTGTCGAGATGGGCCGGAGACCTGCCAGATGGTATGTAGTTTCCTTTACTGGCTACATTTAGTAGTTATCGATATTGCAAAAATAAACCTTATCCTAAGTCAAGATTTTGTCGTGGTGTCCCAGACCCAAAGATTCGAATCTTTGATCTGGGTAAGAAAAAAGCAGACGTTGAAGAATTTCCTCTATGTGTTCATATGATATCAGATGAATACGAACAGCTGTCCAGTGAAGCATTAGAAGCTGCTCGTATTTGTGCAAACAAGTATCTGTTGAAGCATTGTGGGAAAGATTCATTCCATGGCCGGATACGCGTTCATCCATTTCATGTGATCCGCATCAATAAAATGCTTTCGTGTGCTGGGGCTGATCGGTACTCACTTTTTCATTCCTAACATTTGTGCTTAGTTTGCAAACTGGTATGAGAGGTGCATTCGGAAAGCCCCAGGGGACAGTTGCACGCGTTGATATTGGACAAGTTATAATGTCAGTTCGTGCTCGTGATCAACATCAAGCTCAAGTTGTTGAAGCTCTCAGACGTGCCAAAATGAAATTCCCAGGTCGGCAGAAAGTAAGTATTTGAATACTGAGTGTGTAGATTTATTGTAAACACTCGACTTCAAGTGACGACAGTGTCAATTCTTTCACTACGTTCCTATTATCAAAATTTAATAGACTACCGTATTGAACACCTAAAAACCCTAAGTCCAAATATTGCCTCTTATTCGTAATTGCACGTAAGACTTGTTGGTTTCATTAGGACCACTATCATCACCTAATCTTATCATTGATTCTATCAATCAGTCCCTTAGGATTCATCCTTTTTTACTACTGTAGTGTGATGACGACCGAATGGATGATTGTTCTGTGTCTATTCTCCTGTGACTAGCTTGTCCTCTAAAAGACTTATATACTGCGGGTAACTTACGAAATGCAAGGTTTTCTCAGGTTTTATGTGATGCACATTTCAAGGATCGACGACGCTCGTTGGTTTGCTTTAATGTGCGATAGTGATATCAAATGGTCAAGTTTATTCACGTAAACTATGGCCGCTTTGATACAGTTTTGTGGTTCGAGTAAGTTGTAGTTATCTCTCAGAATGGAAATAAAAATACCGACCCAGAATTGCTTGTATGGGCCTTGTCCTAGCATATACATTTCCGTTAAGAAAAGCAAACAGTTGCTGTATCCGTAGTTTATCCATAAGCTTGCTCTCGAAAATCGGCAAATATTTTACAAACTTGCGTACCCGTTATCGTTTTGTAAAAGTTTCTTGTTTTTATATGATGCACATTTCAAGGATCGATGATGCTGTCATCGATTTAGTTCGATGTGCGATAATAAAGTCAAATAATCAAAGTTCATTTACGTGAACTATGGCCATTTTGATACAAGCTTACCTTTCCAAACTATTATTCGTAGCTAATGTATTTGTTCGATGCAAGTTCACTAGCTTTTTAGACAGTAATTCTTGGGTTATAATATACATTCTTTTGGTGTATATTTTTCCATTCATGAAAAATGTACTAAGCATCTGCACCCGATATCCATTTTATAGTCACTTTATTGTTGACAATTTGAGTTTGCGACTCGTTTTATGTCCAATCCATGACTTTTGACAAATATTTTGTAGCGAATCAGGTATTTTATATGTAAAAGCTAATTTTTGTCATTCAAGTAGACTAGCTAGAGACTTGATAATATCACTGCTTACTTTGATAAATGGGTGAGGTGTCGTAAGGGTTGCTGGTTGTGACGTTTTACTATTTCATTTTCCAGCTGCGATTTACACTTTTGTGCAAATTTAGTCACATCGAGCTACCGAACTGAAATACTTGGGCCAATTTACTAAGTCAAGTCTTCCAATTCAGTTACCTTAGTACTAGGATCTTTCTAAAAGTTAGAGCATGAACACATCTGAGTGTGTACTTTCCAACTCTTCCATAACAATACCACCGTAACTGATAAATATGTTATGACCTACACTTTAGTCTCAAAAAACATTCGAGTCAAACCCTTACGTATTCTTGTCAAACTTATATGACAGTTGTATGATCAAAAACCCCGATTTTTTTTATACCATTGTATCTCAAATCCTACCCAAATCATTAGGATCTTCATGTTAACATAAATCTTATTATTTGTCTTGATGTATTTGTATCTAAACCAATAGATAGCCGTGTCACGTAACTGGGGTTTCACAAAATGGCCTAGAACTAGTTTTAACGAAATGCGTGCCAAAGGACAACTAGTTTCGGACGGTGTTGGTGTGAAGTATCTTCCTCCTCATGGCCCCTTAGAACAATGGAAACAAACACAGGCACGTCTAGCTGGAATCACTGTATAAAAATAAGACTACAATACATATTTGGTAATAATTCTTGAAATTTTAACTCTTTCGGCTGTGTGATTGATTTATTAGTCTGTTAGTTCTACTCAATGCGATCACATAAAAAGCAAAATTATACATCTGAACATCATAACAATAGGTTATAAATTTTATTTGAACACAGATTGTTGCAAAGAAACACTGAATACATTGCGCAACATAAGTCACATGGTTTGTGTGTGGGCTGTGGTACTCCATGGGTGCCGAAACCGAAGCAGGTGGTTTTCTTAACTGGTCACACCCAGAGCCTTCGGTTTGAAGGTCTAATCTACAAGACAGTGTAGCAATGTCAGGAGATGCAGTCCCATGGTAGCCGGTTATCAATAATTGATCCATGCGCCATTTGTTCCCTCACGATTCTAGAGCCCATATGCACGATTGATTTGCAATCAAGGTTTCTCAACTCCCTTGTGTGGATCCTCCACATCCACCAATCCGGTAAAAGAACGGAACATCCGCTTTTTGTCCTCGATTTCGTAAAACAACCGCAGCGAAAAATAGTGAGGACTTCCCAGGTAGCGGCTGAATACGCGTAGACATGTGACAGCATTTCAAGAAGGAGAGCTGAGTCTCAACACTTGGCTGTACTAGGGCTTTAAATAATGATCTCCGAGAATGACTAGATGTTGGGGTCACAGGAGGACCTGAATATATTGACAGGAGTGAACTGGAATTAAGGGCCGATATCTCAATAACCCAATCAGAGGTTAAATAACCTCCAAAATCGAAAGACCAATCATAGTCGAAGATGACGCACATCTCTAGCAACACAGATTTGTATTCCAGTTCATTCTAGTAATATGTCTCCAAAATAGCTTCCAAAGTGAAATATAAACCTGTGTATTTACAATTCTCTCAGCATACTACTTCATACGTTAAGAAAAAATAACGTGACAAACACAGACACTTGATGCCGTGTTAAACGTAACTCAACATTATACAACTTTAACTACACCACCATAAAAATTTGAAATCCCTAGAAAATTTTCACAATATTATATTGCGCTAATACAGTAACTAAATCGCCAACTACTATGTATGACCCTGTAGTATTTCACACTAGCCATATGCATGGATGATTGTATACGTGAAGAAGTGGTCTGTGATGTTGAGCTATGTTGTGTTGTATGAGTTAGTTGAGTGTGCTGATGATTGGTATTTTGATTTGTGTTAACTGCGAGTGTTGTTGTTGTCGGTGAAGGTGATGATTACTGTGTAATGTGTCCATGTACATATGTGTGCACCTATATATATATATATATATATATATATATATATATATATATATATATATGTGTGTGTGTGATGTTGAATGGAGGAGTGAGTGGGGTGGCGGTTGAGTGTGGATGTGGTCGCTTGCAAATCTGTGTTCAGGTTTGCTTTGAAGCACATCCGAGATTGAGAGATGCATGTGATGTACTGGCTGTTTCCGATGCAATTGAAACAGGATCCATGCTAAATTTGTAATAGTGTATGTATGTATGTATGTATATATATATATTTATACATGTGTGTGTGTGTATGTATGTACTTACCTGGATATGACTTTGAATAATTGATGGAGTAGATGCTTGTGTGGTTGGTGACGTCTGAGATTGTTGCGCTTGATCGTGTTGAGTGATGGTGCTTTTGGTCGTAGTAGTTGTGATGAAGCTGAAAATGATAGAAGTTGTGGAGTGAAAATATTGAGTGTTGTTGGATTGGTGTGCGATATTGGTTTGAATGAGGCGGAATATTTTGTGTTGGAGTGTGTGGGTGTAAATGTTGTTGGTTTAGTTTATATGTGAAGAGTGTGTTGAAGTGATTGTTTGTGATGGTGGTGATAATGCTGGCATTTCTGTGTAGAGATGAAGCAGCTCGTATGTGCTTTAGTCTCAAGGGAGAAATGCGAAATTGTTTCGCGCGTTGCTCATCAGGTCTGGGTGATTCCGGATCTTGGGCACGGGCGATAAATACTGTATTCTTACGCAGTGATGGGATGAATGTGTGTGATTGGGATTGGCCGGTTACTTTTGGATAGCAGTTATGGATGTGTATAAGTGTGGTGGAAGAACGACCAAAACGCGAGCGCGCGCGTGTGTGTGTGTGCCAGATGAGGTGAAGTGAGGTGGTGTTGTGTTTTTCTACGTGAAGCAACTAACTCGGTGTGAATAGAGTTGGTTGAACCGATTAATGTTGGATCGATCTGTTCTGGGGTGAGTAGTGAAATGGGACTATTTATTCTGTTGACAATACTGTTAGTGTTGATGAGGTGTTGGTGTTTCAACTGAGAACGGGTGTGATTAGTTGGTGGTGTTGTGCGTGGTTTGTGATGATCAGTGAATGGTGATGATGGTGATGATCATCGTGACCAGCACCCATTCAATGTGACGCAATTGACTGGGCTCCGAACGATGGTAAATTGAGGTTGCGAATGTATACGATAGTGTGATTTCGCGACAGTATCAAAATCGTTAGTTAGACCGATATGAATATGATCGTGTGTTGAATGCCGAAGTATTGATCACAATGTGCGTGTTTAAGTGTTCGCTGGTCTGGTGGTGAGGTTTGTTTGTGATGTTGGTAACAAGAAAGAGTAATTTTGTGGTGACGTTGCAATCGTTTGTTGGTGTTGTTAGTGTTTTGTAGAGGGAGAGAGTTGACGACGTGAGTGGTGAGAATAACTATGGTTGTTTGTTGTTAAGCATCATAAAGTGCTCTGCTCGATGGGCGGGTCTGAGCTCCAGAGTGATGCCAAATTGTAATGGCAAGGTGACTGTGGATATGGTTCATTTTGCCAGAGAGTAATGTGCGAGTTGTTTGTCCAGCTGATGTATGCATGTATGTGTGTGTGTATGAGAGAGAGAGAGAGGGTCGTTTTGATGGTTGTATTAGTGGTGGAGTTGGGACGCGGAGTGGTGTGATGGCTAATATGCGTGTCGTTTTTCAATGCTGACTAGCATTTAGCTGAATCGCACTGACCTGCCCCTATGATCAACTGATCGGTAAGTGAGTGGAGTGTGTTTTGTGTCTCTGGAGATTGAGTTATCGGCTAGTGTCTGTATTTTGGATGGTTGGTGTGTGTGAGGTTGTTAGTTGTTGGTATTAGGAAGGGATAATGTGACGGTGGCGGTTGGTTTGATAACATGTAATGATGTTGTGGAGGTGTGTTTTGTTTGACGGGGATGTGGTCGTAGAGGATATTGTTAGTATGTTGTTGTCGTTTGTGCTTGAAGAGTGACTGAGTTTTGGAGTACGTGTGTGATGGAGGTGTATTGTGGAGTGGATGCCGAGTTGTATTTGGTGATTCTGTGCACCAAGTATGCTTAAGGTATCCGAAATTGAAGCTAGTTCACCAACTACTGTACATGACGTGCTGTAGTATTTCACACTAGCCACATGCATGGATGATTGTATACGTGAAGAAGTGGTCTGTGATGTTGAGCTATGTTGTGTTGTATGAGTTAGTTGAGTGTGCTGATGATTGGTATTTTGATTTGTGTTAACTGCGAGTGTTGTTGTTGTCGGTGAAGGTGATGATTACTGTGTAATGTGTCCATGTACATATGTGTGCACCTATATATATATATATATATATATATATATATATATATATATATATATATATGTGTGATGTTGAATGGAGGAGTGAGTGGGGTGGCGGTTGAGTGTGGATGTGGTCGCTTGCAAATCTGTGTTCAGGTTTGCTTTGAAGCACATCCGAGATTGAGAGATGCATGTGATGTACTGGCTGTTTCCGATGCAATTGAAACAGGCAACAGGATCCATGCTAAATTTGTAATAGTGTATGTATGTATGTATATATATATATTTATACATGTGTGTGTGTGTATGTATGTACTTACCTGGATATGACTTTGAATAATTGATGGAGTAGATGCTTGTGTGGTTGGTGACGTCTGAGATTGTTGCGCTTGATCGTGTTGAGTGATGGTGCTTTTGGTCGTAGTAGTTGTGATGAAGCTGAAAATGATAGAAGTTGTGGAGTGAAAATATTGAGTGTTGTTGGATTGGTGTGCGATATTGGTTTGAATGAGGCGGAATATTTTGTGTGTTGGAGTGTGTGGGTGTAAATGTTGTTGGTTTAGTTTATATGTGAAGAGTGTGTTGAAGTGATTGTTTGTGATGGTGGTGATAATGCTGGCATTTCTGTGTAGAGATGAAGCAGCTCGTATGTGCTTTAGTCTCAAGGGAGAAATGCGAAATTGTTTCGCGCGTTGCTCATCAGGTCTGGGTGATTCCGGATCTTGGGCACGGGCGATAAATACTGTATTCTTACGCAGTGATGGGATGAATGTGTGTGATTGGGATTGGCCGGTTACTTTTGGATAGCAGTTATGGATGTGTATAAGTGTAGTGGAAGAACGACCAAAACGCGAGCGCGCGCGTGTGTGTGTGTGCCAGATGAGGTGAAGTGAGGTGGTGTTGTGTTTTTCTACGTGAAGCAACTAACTCGGTGTGAATAGAGTTGGTTGAACCGATTAATGTTGGATCGATCTGTTCTGGGGTGAGTAGTGAAATGGGACTATTTATTCTGTTGACAATACTGTTAGTGTTGATGAGGTGTTGGTGTTTCAACTGAGAACGGGTGTGATTAGTTGGTGGTGTTGTGCGTGGTTTGTGATGATCAGTGAATGGTGATGATGGCGATGATCATCGTGACCAGCACCCATTCAATGTGACGCAATTGACTGGGCTCCGAACGATGGTAAATTGAGGTTGCGAATGTATACGATAGTATGATTTCGCGACAGTATCAAAATCGTTAGTTAGACCGATATGAATATGATCGTGTGTTGAATGCCGAAGTATTGATCACAATGTGCGTGTTTAAGTGTTCGCTGGTCTGGTGGTGAGGTTTGTTTGTGATGTTGGTAACAAGAAAGAGTAATTTTGTGGTGACGTTGCAATCGTTTGTTGGTGTTGTTAGTGTTTTGTAGAGGGAGAGAGTTGACGAC